CTCTGGCATTCTGTACCTCTCAGCTGGGCACCAGGCTCCTTCTCAGGGACCCTCCAAATTCTAACACATCCTTTCCTGCTCAGAAACTCCCTGTCTCAGGAGGGCATCTTTTTATCTGGTTTGCAGACTGGGTGGCTTGGGTCTTGAAGTTCTAGTGTCAGCTTTACACCACGCTTCTTTTCAGGTACTGGCCTTCTGTATTCCAAAATACTTTTTAGCAAATCAAACACCTTGACTTCTAAGAACATTGTGTCTGCTGAGTTGGAACAACTTCTTTTAGAACTTAAAGGCAATATTGCCTCTCTGTTCCTCCCAAGGCAATGACTGTCCCCTGGGACCAGGAATGCCACTGATAGCTCAGAACTCCATCCGCAACACCTGCTTTCTTGAAGCCACAGCTCATGCCAGAGCCTTTGACGTCTGCCACCAATGTCACCAACTCAGTCCAGCGTACTCTTGGTGTGCCAAGGCGTGTGTGGAGCTCTGCGGTGCTCCTAGGACATCTTCCCAGGACACGATTTTACCCAGGGTTTAGGCCAGAAAAGGGTTTTTCCATTACATAAACATGCTTATATTCGGTTGTCAGATGCAACACTCACATGTGTTTTTAGGACAAAACAGAAGACTCTAAGGATATTCCAAACATGTTGGGCTGTTTGAGACGTTTGTGATTATGTCCCCCAGAGCCCCCAAAAGTACACACACAGTCTTCTCTGCTGTTCATTTCTTCCAGGGGAAAGTTTGGGACACACTGGCTTGCTGTCCACGTGCCTTCACCCAGTTTTCAATGTCCTCTTAACTCCAACCTCACCCTGCTTTTTGAAACCAATTTCTGAGTATGACAGCTGTGCTCCATAATCTTCCTAAAGCTGTGACTTCCTGGGGCTTCCCTGGTGGCTTAGTGGTAAAGAATCTGCCTATGAATGCAGGTAACTTGGGTTCAGTCTCTGCTGAGCCTGTGCTCTAGAGCCCAGGAGCCGCAACAGCTGAAGCCCATGTGCCCCAGAGCCTGTGCTCTGCAACGAGAGAAGCCACTGCAATGAGAAGCCCGTGCTTCTCACGCAGCAACTAGAGAAAAGCCCGTGCAGCAGTGAAGACCCAGCAGAGCCAAAAGAAATAAATAAAATAAAAATAAATAAACAAAGCTGTAACTCCTAATGATGTTTCATGGTCCAGGCCCCATGTCTCTGTAAACCTTCCCTGAATATTGCTCAGAAGTATTGCCCTGGGGCTTCATAATACCTTCTGTCAAGCTCTATGAAAGCATCTGTGCATTGTGACTGTTACAGTGATGATCTGTGCCTCTCTCTGGGTGCTGAGCCTCTTAACGGTAGGGCCACGTCTCATTGCTTTTCATACTTTCAGAGCCCAACACAGTGCCTGATACACAGCAGTCTCCACTGTTTGTTGGAGGCAGTGGGGGCTCTGTAAACACTTTCCATCCACATCCTGGATGTCAGGGCTGTCTGGAGGAAAACAGACTTAGGAAGTAGGACCAGTCTGTAGGTCCTTGAGATGATGGCTGATTCATTCATTCTTTTCCATTCCTTTCATCAGGTACTGATGAAAGGTCAAATGATATGCTGGTCACTGGGATAGAAAAATACATATGACAGAAACCCTGTCCTTAAGGTTTTCATAGTCCATAGGGAACAGCTATTAACAGAACTGATGTCCTATGTGTTGACCTTAGAAGAGCTATGTAGCCTGGAGGAATACAGGGTGGATAGAGGTACCTGTGGACACTATTCAGACCTCAATTGCTTATTTAGATAAAAAATTTAGAATAAAATCACTTCTCATTTCCTTTGAACCAGGTGCCCTGCTAAGCACTTAACATGATTTATCTCATTCGATCTCTGTAATAGCCCAAGGAGGGTCATTATTATTTTTAGCTCTGTTTTCCAGAGAAGGAAACTAGGGCTTAAAGACATTTCACAGTGTAAATAACAAGGCCATCTATGGAGCAGAGTCCACTTGACCCACTATCCATGATTTTGAACCCTGTGCACACTGCCTCAGGGGAGAGAGCCAACACAGTGGCTGTAGGCAGAACAAACAGGTGTGCAGGGGGGTGAAGGTTTGATAAGCCCCATTCTTGGGGGGATTCCAGTGGACTTTGGGTGAAATCGTGAATGGGAGAGAGACGATCTAAATTGAGGTCCCCGAGTGAAAACCATAAGGTCCCGCTCCTGAGTCATCATCATGTCCTTGCCAATCTGCGGCCCTCCAAGTGTTCCTCTATAGATTACCGGTGAAAATAAACACACATACGAAGTGAACAAAGGGCAAGGGCCAGGGCCAGGGGCTGGGTTTAGCCGTTAGGGATAAAAGGGGAAACTGGAGAGTTGGGGTAACTCAATAGTGAGTCTCGAGGGGAACTAGGCTCCAAAAGATCAAACAGGATCAGGTTTACAAAGGGAAGGAAAGCGGGGGACCTCACCACCAGTGAGAAGGAGAAGAGGAGGGAGGCTTGGAGCAGCCAGAGCTGGTGGGGTCCCTGCACTTCTCTGAGCCCTTGCTCTTGGCCACCCCTGTTTTGATCAACCTCCCTCATCTATAGCCTCCCCGCCTCCCCGCATATGTCCAATCAGCTGTCAGAGTCAGGAACAACTCTATGGAATGGAGAGCTCCAGGCATGAAGGCTACCCAGGAAACCATCACAGAAGTGTCGTTTAACACTTTCGTGTGGCCCAGGGGGACTGTGAGCGGTGTCTTCTGACAGCTATGGTCAGTGGCTTCAATCACACACCCCACAAACTTCACTGAGTGCCTGTTATGTGTCAGTTTCTGCAGGGGAGGCCAGGGACATAGAAGCCGAGGAGACAGGTCCACTCTAAGGTGCCATGGACCAGGCAGAGGACACCAAGAGATGCAACGCAGCATGTTGAGTGCTCAGTCCAAAGTCACAGAAGGCACCCAACCCACTGTAGCGGGGAGAGGGCTGGAGGAGGATCAGGGGCTTTTAGGGTGACAGAAACCTGGACGTTTCTCCTGTTTAACTCAGGGTCCCAGGTCTACCTCTCTGTTTCCATTTTGAATTAGTCCAGATCAGGACTTCCCTAGTGGTCCAGTGGTTACGATTCCGTGTTTCCACTGCAGGGGGCACTGGTTTGATCCCTGGTTAGGGAACTAAGATCCTGCATGCTGCACGGTGCGGCCAAAAAAAAAAAAGACTGTATTCTAAATGACTAAGGGCTGCCCCTGTATTCCTGAGCCCTCTCCTTGAAGGATCAAGACGCACACAGAGACGCTTAGGAACACAAAGTCACTCCCTCACTGTCTCATCTTGGATAATCGCTCACGCTGAGCTAAGAGGGAAGCACAAGGATCATCCATTTTCCTCCCCTGCCGCCTCCCCGGGGGACAGCGTGTATAGGTAAACTCGCTGCATATTTTAGCAAGGCTGCAGTAGATCACCGGGGTGACCAGATGATTTATTGCTCAAACCAGGACATTTGGAGAATGAAAGGGCATTCTAAAAATAACTAACAGGCATCAACTGATCTACAGCAGATATGTACTCCGAGATTGTCCTGGTAAGCCAGGGTGTATATTCCCCTGACAGAAAATGCTACGTGTTCAGGACCCTCGTGCATGCATGCTAAGTGGTTTCAGTCATGTCTAACTGTTTGCGATCCTATGGACCGTAGCCTGGCAGGCTCCTCTGTCCAAGGGATTCTCCAGGCAAGAACACTGGAGTGGGTTACCATCCTCCAGGGGATCTTCCTGACCCAGGGACTGAACTCATGTCTCCTGTGACACCTGCATTGCAGGCAGATTCTTGACCGCTGAGCCACAGGGGAAGCCCCTCCTCAACTTCATGGCAGTCAGTGACTGCTCTCTATCCAGCTGGGTTTAACATTCATTCATTCATTCAATACAATATCCATGTGCCAGGCCCAGTGGACAGCCCTGTGAGGAAGACAAACTCTGCCCTCATGGAACTTATGTTCTAGAAGAGGCAGAAAGTAAACGGATTAATAGAAAATAATGATATCGGGTGGTGATAAAGTCTGAAGAGAGAAATAAGGCAGTTAAGAGGAGGGGGAGAGGTATGCAGGGTGGGGACTTGATGGCCCCTCTGAGGTAGCTTCTGAAGGAGCAGGCTTGGGGAGCAGGAAGAAAACGGGGGAAGAGATCACGTAGGGTTGGGAGTCAATGAAAGCTTGAGTTTTATTCTGAGTGAGATGTGAGCCATTGGAAGGTTTGTCCAGGCCAAAGCTGCAATCTCTTTTCTTCCCCTTTGGCTGCACCTCACAGCATGGGGAACTTCCTTGACCAGGGATCGAACCCACTCTCCCTGCAGTGAAAGGGCAGAGTCTTAACCATTGAATCGCCAGGGAAGCCCCCAAGGCTGCAATCTTATGTGCGTCTTAAAAAGAATTACCTTTTTAAGGCTCCTGGTGAAGAGATCACTGTGTGTGTGTGAGTGTGCTAAGTCGCTTCAGTTGTGTCTGACTCTGTGACCCTATGGACTGTAGCCCCCCAGTCTCCTCTGTCCATGGGATTCTCCAGGCAAGAGTACTGGAGTGGGTTGCCATGCCTCCTCCAGGGGATCTTCCTGACCCAGGGATTGAACCTGAGTCTCTTACATCTAACCTGCATTGGCAGGTGGGTTCTTTACCACTAGCGCCACTGGGAAGCCCCAGAGAGAACACTGAAGAGGGGCAAAAATGGGAAAATGAAGCCAGGCTGTTGTAATTGTGTGATTGCGGAGTGCCAGGGACACAGGCCACAGCGGAAGAGGTGGTGCTGGCACAGAAGGGGTTGGACTCAAGAGACAAGGCAGGGTTAGCATCTCTAGGGCTTGGGAGCAGGTGGGAGTGGATACCCTACAGGGAGCCGAGACCTGCGAACAGGGCTGACCCTAGCCAATCCCAGCCTGGCTCTGGGCTCCTTTCAAGGCTAGTTTTCAACCTCTAATGACCTGGGATTTGGAAGCCAGAGACAAACAGCTCTGGTCTCCCAGGCAGGAGGGGGACCCGGGCCGTCCTTACCTTTGGCTCTGTGATCCTCCTCCTTGGGGCACTTGCCCCCTTCCCACCACTTGCGCTTCAGGATTTCCAGGCGGTTGTTCTCCTGCAGCTGGAGAATGGCCAGATCAAACTCGTCCCGAAAGACGGAGCCTGGGGGTCACAGGAGAGCCCAAAACACAGGACGTGAGTGCCCCGTCTGCATCTCTCTGCTCCCTGGCCAGGCCTCAACCTCACCGCCACCCACCCTGCCCCTGCAGTGCAGGAGGCGAGGGGCTGGGGTCCCCACAGGAGCACGGCCTCCACTGTGCTCAGGCTGGGACTCTCCGTGGAGAGGACTGTGTTCTGGCTCTACGTGCGGCACCAGCTATTTCTACTTCCCTTCTCTCCATGCTGACTGGCACGCCCAGCCCACGGCCAAGACCCCACTGTGGGTCAAGTGACAGACAGCTGCGCCTCCCACCTCCCCATCCAGGCTCCACTGTATTATGGAATAATAATAATTATTATTATTCTACCTGGGTGAACCCAGCTGCCCATTGGCATGCAGTGAACTGGTTGCAAAAGCTCCCCATCCACCTGCCTCCGGGAGGCCAAGGAGGCACATCTTCTGTGACACAAACCTCGCGCTGTCCATCAGCTGCCTACTTTCTACTTTATTTAAATTAGTTTCTCTGCCATTTGTAACTCTCACTACCTTACACCGAACAGCTGTTTACCAGGAGCAGCCACCAATAAGAGAAGAGCCATCCAGAGCGAAGGGGAAGCCCCCTTTTCTCTATCTGTGTGGAGAACCCATCTGGGGCATCCCCAATCATCACAGCTGCCCGCTGGGTGCCCCAGAACCCTGACCTTGTCCACCACCTGTTTACATCGCTCCCCCCACCTCCTCAAACCGAAGGCTTAGTTGAGTGCAATTCTTTTGTAAATTTTCAAATGGAATACCGTCAAGGAGCTCTGGTTCCAGAATTTAGATTTAATCACAGAAACAGGCTTAAACGAAACCATGGAAAGCTCGATGCCCCAGCCCAGGCTGAGGTCTGAAATCATTAAGAAAAAGCTGCCAAGAGGCTGGAAAGCAACTAAGCTACCCAGGTTTTTGTCTAAGCTCTGTGAAGGCCTGCTGTGGACAGATGGTTTGGGGGAAAGGGCTCTGGTGAAGGATACAGGCAGGAGTTGGAACAAATAGATGCCTGCGCTCAAACTTTCACGCACATTGGAATCCCCTGGGGAGTTTGTTGACCCTGCAGACTCCGATTCAGTGGGTCTGGGGTGGCGGCTGAGAGTGCATTTCTAACAAGCTCCAAGGTAGTGCCCTGCCGCTGGGCCATGGACTGCCCTTTGACAGGTAAGGAATCAGATCAGTTCCCAGATCGCTTAGGACTCTGACAGCCCATGACTCCAGAGATAGAAACTTCCCTGCTATAGACACAACTATGCTTGGGCATTCAAACCCGAAACCTGCAGCACTGAACGCAAACTGGGTGAATGTCAACAGCACCTCACATATAGCAGGTACTTAACACACATCTGAAGTGAATGGCTACTTGAACTAACAGATGGTGTTTGATGGTTAGACTAATGAACATTCCAGGTTTAGAAACAAGTATCCACCTGACCAGGCATTTCGAGCAGTTTTCAAGGCATCTTCACCCCAATCTCTATAGCACACCAAGGGCCCCAGCAAAGGATTACTCTGCTTACTCCGTGTTTGCCTACTTAGCTCCTAAACTACCTACCCATCTCATTCCTTGTTCTGTTTCCCTTAATTTTCCTGGGTCCAATCACATTGCTTATTAGTTTACGCCCTTACCTGCTACTTAAGGACACACGTGCTTGTCTTTTGGACCTAAATTCTGTCTTATCAATCGACTCTGCAGTGCTCTTCCCAGCCTGATCTGAGAACCTGGGCTAGCTCAGAGTTCACCCTCCCCATCTATCCTGTCCTGTCGAGCTGGGTACCCTTCTTTCAACACGGTCTGGGAGGCGAAATACTAGATTTGAGACAGGCACCCTAGGCTCAAGCCCAGTTTCTCTCTCCACCTATTCTGTGACCTTGGACAAGTAACTTATCAACCCTGAATCTCAGTTCTATCCTCTAGGATGGCAAGGGCCACATCTACCTTGCAGGTAGAATAAGATTAAAGTAACACAAGCGGAAACAGCATCACTTCAGACACAGAACCAATGCATTTCTCTCCCCTTCTCATTGGTTATCGATGAGAATTTCTAGAGTCAGTCCGCTGCATGTCAACTCTCTATAGGTTTTTCTCTAGGAAAACTTTTGAAACACTTGACATTTCAGTTAAATATGTTAAATTGCTAGAGTATTATCAAGGTGCACCTTAGGTTCATTTTGTGGTTCACTCCACCATCTTGAAACAAAACGTCAACCAGTAAATTTCTCAAAGGGGCCCATAATCTGTAATATTAATGGAATCAATGAAATATGATGCTAAGTAGAGAGTATGCAGGTGCCCTGAGTGAGGCTTCCGGTTTATAGAACTACTAGTGTCAGAAAGAGAGTGAATCATGTTCCTGCCTATGTGCCTGAGCTTGGTTCCTGAGCAGTCTTGAAGAAGTCATCTGCTTTGATCAAGTAACAGAGGGAATGATGGAAAAGATGAGGAGGGTCTAATGTTCCCCAAACAGGCTAAGTGTGATGAGATACCATGGTGAGACCAGATGATTAGGTTTAACTGTCAAAATAACCCTTTGAGTTAGGTATTAGAAACCTGGTTTTAAAATGAGATGGGATTCCCTGGTGGCTCAGACGGTAAAGAATCCGCCTGCAATGCGGGAGACCTGGGCTTGATCCCTAGATTGGGAAGATCCCATGGAGAAGAGAATGGCAACCCACTCATGTATTTTTGCCTGGAGAATTCCATAGACAGAGGAGCCTGGCAGGTTTCAGTCCATGGAGTCGCAAAGAGCTGGACATGACTGAGAAACCTTCCCCTGAAAATGAAATAACTGAGACTCTGAGAGGTTAAATCACTTGTCCAAAGTCCTGCAGTCAGGAAGCAGGGTGAATTTCCAGATATGCCTGCCTCAAAGCCATGCTCTTCATAAGGCACTGGTATAAGTGAGCCCTGTAATTTATAGAGTTCTGAGTTATGTAATGATCCAGAGAAGGGGTGTAACACTACTATATATAAAATAGATAACCAGCAAGGACCTACTGTATAGCACATGGAACTCTACTCAATATTTTTTAATAACCTATAAAGGGAGAGAGTCTGAAAAATATATATATGTCTACTGAATCACTCTGCTATACACCTGAAACTAACACACCACTGTAAATCAACTATACTTAAAAGAGAGAGAAGAATTGTGCAAGATCACAGCAAAGATGCATGTACTGTATATCAATTTCCCCACATGATTTGATTTCCTCCATTCCTGCTTCTTTCCCTGCTGCCTCACACAGGACAACCTTGTCTGAAGTCAGCCCTGTGCCACATGACTCTCCATGGTGTTGGGGGAAGGGTATGTGTCTGAAGACACTCGGGAGACATTTCCAGACTTCCGCCACAACCATAGTGGGCAGTTAACATGCTCCCCCTCACCTTCTGGTGAAGGAGCCATCAGCAAGGGAAGGCCCAATGCAGGCATTGCCTTTAGGAGGCATAGCTGGGATACCTTTCTGGAAGCCAAGCTTCTCTAGCCTCATCAGAGCTACATCAGAGCACTCCTGCTCACTCTCAGCTATCTACGCTGACTCACAGTAGACAGATCCATGAGAGCCACAGATGATTTGAAAGCCATCTCCTCCAATCACATCAGTCCCCTTTCATATTACACCTTTCACCACGGACACTAATAGCAAAATTAATTCACTTGAGTCCTACCATCTCCCTTCCACCACCAGAAGAGATGTCAGCCAGCAGAGAAACGGTCAGAGCAGGAAGCAGAAGGGGAGAGAACAGAAGGCCTAAAGAATCCACCAGGGGCATCCGAGTGCCCTTTAGTAATCATGCAATTAATAACTAACAAGGGCTTCCCTGGCGGCTTAGTGGCAAACATTCTATCTGCCAATGCAGGAGACACAGGTTCTATCCCTGATCTGGGGAGATCCCACTTGTTGCAACTACTGGAGCCTGTGTGCCCTACAGCTTCTGCTCCACGACAAGGGAAGCCACCGCAATGGGAAGCCCACGCACGGCAATTAGAGAGTAGCTCCTGCTCGCCGCAACTACAGCAAAGCCTGAGCAGCACTGAAGACCCAGCACAGCCAAAAATAAACAAACAAAATGATAAAAATCTCATCAATTAACCCTTCAGTAACTAAGGACTGAGAACTGATTCCTGATGACGTGAAGTATGAGGGTTTGCTTTTTTTAAAAAAAACAAAAAATCCTTGAGAATGCCCGTGTCAAGTCACTGAGAAATTGGTTCTAGAAGCAGGGGCTGCTGACGTGAAGGCTGCCTTCGGTGGTCTGAGCTGCCCTGAGCCTGCCTGGGTGGAGCTACCCGAAGAGGCTGATCCTCTCCTGCATACCGACTGGCATGCCAATCCCATAGCCCTTGGTGTCCAGCAGGCCCCCAATCTGAGTGAGGTTGCAGTTTCGCTGCCGATAGTACTCATTCATGGTGGACTCCAGAAGGAAGGCGTAGTTGGAATTCAACACCCTGGCGATCCCCTCCTCCGTGCTCTTCACGAACACACTCGGCTGCTTGGAATACATGTAATTCCACATGCGCTGGTAGGTCTGATAGCGGGAATTCTGGGAAAAGAACACAAGGAAGCAGGTTGAAGGTAGTGAAAGGAGACAGTGGTCTGGAAAGGGAGAGCATCCAAGTGGTCCCCCAAATCCTGGTCCTTCCACTGCTCAGTCCCCTCCTTGCATTCAGGAACCTGTTCCCTTTCATCTCTCAGCGGCTGTTGCTCAATGGCAGGAGGAGAGGGTTGTGATTCTGATAACTTTTACAGAAAGACAGCCCCTGAAGGGAATGACAGCCCACTCCAGTATTCTTGCCTGAAGAATCCCATAGACAGAGGAACCTGGCAGGCTACAGTCCATGGGGTCGCAAAGAGTCAGACACGACTGAGTGACTAAACATGCGCGCACACACAGAAAGACAGAGAAGGAACAGGATCTGAAGGTGCTGCAAACTCTGCCTACTGGTTTGATCACTGCATCTGCCTCATCCACCCTCAAGAGGTCTTCCATTGCCAACCCCCACACGCTGACCAAAGTGAGAATGGGTACTCTGGCTGCATCCTCCACCATCCTTCCTGGAGGTAGCAAGCTCAGGTTCATTCTGGACTTCTAAGAGACATCATCCAAAGGAAGAATGCCGGCCCTTTTCTATCAACTCTGAACCAGTCCATCAATCACATATCCAATGTGATTCTTGGTACTGGCTTCTCAGGAGCAAATAAGAAGGAGACAGAGATTTCTGGGGGACCATCCAAACCCTATGTCTGCATGATGCCTTCATGGTCCCTGTGCCAGCAGCTCTGAGACATGTACGGAAAGCAGAAAACTGAAGGCCTTGGACTTGTTTCATGTGAAAATGAACTTCTTGGGTCATAGGCTGCTTAGACTCTCACTGAGTCCAGGGAAATCTGCTTCCCTAGAGATTCTGAAGCCAACACAAACTATTTCTGTGTCTAGCCCAGCTCTGGTTGGCCAGCTAACATGCACTGTGGCAGGATCCGCTCCTGAGCCTTGCAAAGGAAACTCAGAGACGTCAAAACGGTCCCCATCTGAGACCTATATAGTCTAGGATCAGTGAAACCAGTTCAGCTTAATCTAAAGTTCCTTATACTTCATTCATTAGTGTATTACTCCAATCTTGCTTTGTCTAAGTACTACTAATAAAAAGCCTACAAAAAAATTTTTTTTAGCCTACAAGAAAAATTTTAAAGTATGCATTAGCTTCATCCTATGCAGTAATGTAAGTAAAAGTATAGGTTAGCTTCACCACGTATTTTTTCTAATGCTTATTAAAATAAATACGAAACTACTGCAATTAAAAAACATTTTGATCACTAAAATCATCTTAAGCAGCACTAATCATTCACGATCAACACTCAGGGACAAAGCTGACATTAACCCAATGCTCTGGGGACCTGGTTCCAGGGATATTTTGGGGAGCAGGGGGGAAAATGAGCCCCATGAGGACCTCCAAACTAGGTGTTCAAAAGGGAGGATGAGATGAGGAGAGATGTTTTTATCTCCAGTCGACAAACATCTCAACTTTATCCTGCCCAACTCCCGATGCTGGTGAGCAACCATATGGGTTTACTTGGAAGAAGGTCATGCTGGAGCCTCCATGAATCGTGCCATACTCAATGGCAGTCTGGTCAGCCAGGTCATCCACTGACTCAATGGGCACATCCATGCGCTGCACAGTCAGGAAGGCTGCCAGGTTGGCCGTGTAGGATGAGATGATGATCAGCGTGAATGCCCACCTATGCAGGAAAAGACCAGGAAGTCATCATTGCCTGGGTGGCCCCAGGAGTCTTAGCCCCCATCCCCAGTCCTGCTGTGACATGGGAGAGGGCAGGTGGCCCTCTTCTTCTGAAAGAGCCCTCAACTTAGCTGCGGAGGAGAAAGGAGGCAGGGCATGTGATGTCAACAGAAATGAACAGTGCTCGGGAGGGTTGCCTCGAAGAAGACCATGGCTCTCTTTCTCTTATTTCCTAAAGGAGGTGATTATTGGGTTGCTACTCAAAAGAAGTGTGTCCATGAACATGAAACAGCTTGGGAGACAGTGAGCAACGAGCTAGTGAGAGAGCTAAGGGTGTCAGCTCTGGGCGCTCCATTCAGAGCTACAGCCGGGACACCTCCCCCACCCCCTGCCCCTCACGATGCAGCTGACCTTCAGAGGAGCATCTCCATATACTGAGCACCCACAGAGAGCTGCACCCTCCAGCTCCTGTACTCCCAACAACTCGGGGAGGTGAAATTCTTATTCTGACTTTACAGAAGAGGAAACCGAGGCTCGGAGAAGCAAAGTCACGTGGCCAAGTAACACATGGAGAAATTCGTATTCTAAAACCAGTTCTACAAATCGTCAGAGCAGGAGTTCTTCAAGACAAACTGATGACAAGCACCTTTGAGCCGCTGAGAAGTTGGAATTATAAAACACTCTTACAAAGGTCATGCTATTTCAAAATGGAAGGTTGTTTCATTGGGTAGATCAAACTCATTTAAAATTAGAATAGCCCTGCAACTCAGGCAGCACACATGCTAAAGTCATTAAAACCAGTTTGTTCACTTAAGTAGGTTAAACAGGACTTCTACCATCTGGTCAGCAGTATGGATCTGCTTTCTAATCCATTTGTTTATAGGGGTTCAAAGATATATGTAAGCACAACTGAGGCTGGCGAATTGCCAAATTCTGAATCAGTGGAGTCTGAATTAATGAGGCTTCAATTCATTACGAAGACATTGCAAACGAAGGTGCAGCGTTTGCCACGGGCTGAGCCAGGGCAGCTTGCAGGTGGGTTTGCAAGAGCAGGAAGTCCCATTACCCCCTTGGCCTGTGCACTTTCTTCCAGGAGTGAAAGGACAGGTGCACCCATCAACTTGACGGGCACATTCACATGCCAGCCCACCAGATCCATGCCCCAGACCACTAGTAAGAGATCTGGTTTTAGTTCTGGCTTTGTCTAATTCCACCTGTGAGACCTTGGGGGAAAGCTACACAACTCCTCTGAGGTCGTTTGCTTGTCTAATAAATGGGGGATAACAATGCCTGTTTTGTGTTTCCCGGGAGGCACAGTGGTAAAGAATCCACCTGCCAGTGCAGGAGATGCAAGATACTCATGTTTGATCCCTGGGTCAGGAAGATCCCCTGGAGGAGGAAATGGCAACCCAATCCAGTATTCTTGCCTGGAGAATCCCATGGACAGAGGAGACTGGCAGGCCATGGTCCATGGGGTTGCAAAGAGTTGGACACGACTTAGCGACTGAACACCCTAATAATGCCTGGTTTACCTGTCTTGGATCAGATCAGATAACATGTCATTAGTGACTAACTATCTGTAAAGGATGAGAAGAACGTGAGATACAGAGACGAGTAGAGACTGTCCCATTTCATCACAAATGGGATGAAAATCATTTGTCTATCTTCCCTACTGGTGACCTGCAAGGGCCAAGAGTCCCTCCATCCTCAAATTGGCTTTCCTGCTCCTGCCAGAGTTCTTATACCCTCTTGGAAGTTGTTTCTCATGAGCCTCCCTCAGAGGAGGCTGGGAATGGTGGTGAGTGGTCCCCAGGTGGAGGTGAGCATTTGGAAGTTGCTCTGACCCACTGTTGTGGGTTAACGAGCCCTGGGTGTGAACATGACCTCAGAGCTGGCGGGGGTTCCCTCAACCACACAGCTACACTCCAGCATCTGTTCTGCCCTGGACAGCCATGTGGCTGTTTACGCCACCGGTCACAGGGGACAGTTCCGAGAGCCTAAGTAGCTCAGTGCAAGCCCATCGCCTCTGCTGAGAAAGCAAATTACACCCAAGCTCCCTCCAGAGGGGCCAAAAGAGCCTTGCTCCTGTGCCAAACAGGCATTTTATTGTGAAGTTGGCATTCTTGTTAGAGACATGGCATTTTCTGTCACTTGCTCTGGATGAGGATGCCATGGTAGGCCACGAAGGCTGGGTCCTCTGACCTCCCACTCTCTAGGGAGCCAACAAACTGAGGCTGTGATTTCATGACCAAGAGCTCCAAGAGGCAGAGGGGCGCACCAACACCCCTGGGTCAGGCTGGGGAGGGCTGAGCCTCCCTCCCACACATGCTCTGGAGCAGGGTAACCGAGGCACCTGGGGCCAGCTATTTAAAGCCCTGCTGAGCCAGTGGGCTAAGTCAACAGCCTGAAGGACAGGTGGTCCCCTCGGCACCAGGGCAGATGTCCCCGAGGGGAGGGAACTGCTGGAGGCGCGAGCTGACAGGTTAAGGGAGCAGGCAATGGAGCCCCACTTGGCGACACATGGTAACATGCCCCTTTGGAAGGAAAAGTCCAGGTAGGAAGGGATCAAAATCTGCAGCTGATGTCTCATCTCCGGGTTTCTGCCCAGATTTCCTGGATTTTTCAGGGAGTTCTGCGACTGTGCCTGCCAAGGTCTCCTTTCTGCCGGGAACGTGAGGCCTGGCTCCCCATGGTGATTAGCTCAGTGACTCCTGGGCTCGATGTGATAATGGGTGAGCATCCTGCCCCAGTCATTTAAATCCTACTGTATTTGTCACTTATCAGTCCCAGCTGTGTTTCCACCTGCTAGGATCAGCCCCAGTCCAGTGACTCCCAGGTAACTGTCCAGATGCTCCACCATCCCCAGCATTCTCATCCCTTCCCCTTTCCTCTGGCTTACACAGGCCGAGAAGGAGGGGAGAGAATGAAGGCTGTAAGTCCTAAAACCTGTGACACCAAGCCTGATGGTGGGTTTTTAAGTGAGGATGGAGAACTTGCCTCTCAAGGCTACATTGATATTTCACTTCCCCCCAGAATGAATGGTCTAATAGCAATGATCAGTTCAAACATTTATGTGGCATTTCCAAATTTTCAGGGAACTCTCCCACACTTTGAATCATTTCACCCTCTTCCTTTTGCCCTGCCTGATCCAAGAGGAGAAGGAGCTGGCCAACCGCCCTGTGGACCCTGCTGTCAACTTAGATCCTGAGGTCCCGTCCAACTCTGAGCCACTAAGAGCTTGCATTTTTCTGCACCTGCTGAGGTGGACACATCTGGCAGGCCCAGAGGCAGGAACAGAGGGACACAGCTCCAGAAAGCTGCTGGAGGGGGAGTGATGTGACTTGGGGTTGGTGTGGGGAGGGCAGGGACTTCCTGCTACACACTCTGCACATTTGCACAAACTTGCACATGACTTCTCAGGCCCTGCCTCTCAAATGCCAGTCATTCTCAGGTCAGGAAGTTATAACTGCCTTGCTGTGGGCTTTCAAGGCATTTTCTCACCGGGTCTCCTTTTGTGCCTTGGCTAAACTGCACCCCCCACTGCCCCTCCCTCAACCCCACCCCACCAGCCCTCTGAGCTGGCAGAGGCTGTCCGAGGGCGGAGCTGAGGTTCCTGCCGGCAGGAAGCCAGATCAGGGCTCATCTGAGGACCCCAGGATCTTACCAGACGCCACTGACGCAGCGGGTGGATAAGGCGCGCGGGGCGATGGTAGAGCCCTGCTGCATGAAGCCCCCGACTGGAAACCAGAGGCTGTTGCCCAGGGAGTACTGATTCACAAGGAGGTTGCACCGGCCCTGGGCACACGGGTGGGGGCTGTACCACTCGTAGGGGGTCAGCCTGTGGGAGAAAGGAACACACATCAGCGCCGTGGAGGGTGGGCATGAAGAAGGGGTGCTGGGGGCGTGGGGGTGCTCTTCTTCTGGCCTGACCCCTGGACCTTGGCAGCTGCCTGTGGCCTTGGGCAAGCCAGCTCCCTTCTGTTGGACTATGTTGGCTGGCAGTTTCGGAACTTTCTTTAATCAAAGAAACATCTTAATTTTTTCAAAATAAGTCACAGGGGTAGATGGCTGGGAATTGCTTGTCCTGTCTTTTTTTGGTCCCCCGAAGTGACCACAGAGAGAACCCTAGGGCCCCACAGAGCCGTGGATTGAAAAACTCCCAACCCAGAGTGGAAATTTTCAAAATGTAACTGACATCATAATCACCAAGAAGGCTTGTGAAAACACGGATTGCTGGGCCCCAGGCCTGAAGTGTCTGGTTCGCTCAGTCTAGGTGAGGCCTACGAATCTGAAGGTTCCAGGGGGAAGGGGATGCCACTGGTCCAGGGACCACACTTTGCAAACCACTGCCCCAGTGGTTCCCTCCAGCCCTGGTTCTCAACCCTGTCTGTGTTTCAGACTCACCCGGGAGCTTTTTAAAAAATGCCAACACCTGGATTGCATGCCCAGAGGTTCTGACTTTATTTGTCCAGGTACGGCCTGGGCCTCAGCATGTTTCAGGGCTCCCTGGACGAGTGTGATGGGCACATGGGGTTGACAAGGCACACAGGCTCCTTCGATGGTCCCTCGCAGCCTCACGCTGGCCTCTCTCCCAGCAGTACCTCTGATGTCTCTGATGCCCTATCTTCCTGCCCACCAGACACACGCCCTCCCTCCTCTTCTGCAAACTGCCTCCCACACAAAGCCTTCCAGCTCTGATGTGAGAGACGCATCTGGACGTATGACAAGAAGGGCAGGTCTGCGTGTTCACGCGACGTCATCATCTCCCCCGGCCTTCCTGTCCCTTCAGCCTAGTCTGCACGCGCTGTGCTGCAGGGCTGCTTCACATTTCCTTCACTGCTGCTTGTTCCTGACTGCAAGGCCAGTGTGCCGTCTCTGGCCCCTGCCCGCATGCGTCCTCCTTCCTTCCAGGGGCTGCGGGGTTGGATCGTACTCGTGGGGCTTCACCCCAGTGGTTCCCAAGCCTACGGGTGGCTAGATGTGAGCCTCAGAGCTACAGATTCCCAGGGCCTCATCCCTAGAGATTCTGAGATGATCTGACTTAGACATTCAAGTTTTTTTAAAGCTCCCTGTATGACTCTGGTATCAGCTGGCTTGGGAACGGCTGCCATAGAGCAGTGCTTTTCAAACATCTTTTCCCCTCTAAAATCTTACCCAGAAGTACAATATATGAGAGAGAAAAGTGGAGCTGGTCTGAATGAAGACGCGCTGAGGCCGCAGAGCTCTGTACACCCAGCCTCTTCACCGCCCCTCCACGCGTCCGTGCCTACCAGGAGCCTCCACGTCCCGGGGAACCCAGTTTGAAAGCCATTGCCTTGGGCCAGATTACCCTACCCTCAGATTATTTATATTATATGTATTTTGCTGTTGTTGTTCAATCGCTAAGTCCACGTTGGACTGCACATGCCAGGCTCCTCTGTCCTTCACTGTCTCCTGGAGTTTGCTCAAATTCATGTCCATTGAATCAGTGACCATCCAACCAACTCATCCTCTGTTGTCCCCTTCTCCTCCAGCCTTCAATCTTGCCCAGAATCAGGGTCTTTTCCAATGAACTAGCTCTTCATATCAAGTGGCCTGTGTATCTGTGTGTGTGTGTGTGTGTGTGTGTGTGTGTGTGTGTGTGTGTATACACATTGCATGATATACATGATGTATGATCAGACCTCTAGTACAATTTTCTGGTTAATCTTTTTGTTAATTCTGGATCCTGGGGGGCAGTGTGTGTGTGTGTGTGTGTGTGTGTGTGTGTTTGTGTGTGTGTGTGTGTGTGAATGTGGATGGCAGGAGAGAGGGGCTGTTTAAGCCCCCAGGGCTGATTGAAAAGCTCAGGCTGTGGCAGGCAGGGTGAAGCAGTCTTGTGTGTGTGTGTGTGTGTGTGTGTGTGTGTGTGTATGTATCTGATAGCCATGCCCTAATACCACTTCCAGGCCCCCGAGATCACCTGAGAACCATGACCTTCTCCACACAGGGAATCAATCAAAGGGGAAATGAGTGAATTACAGGGCAGCGGAGCCGAGACTCAGGCAGACAGCTTCCTGTGAGCAGCCGCAGACAGCCCAGCGAAGTGCAGAGGGGACGTGTCAGAAGGCGTGCCAGCTCCCGCGCCTCGCCAGTCGACACCGACAACAGGTATGTGACAGTGGCCATGGCTACAGGCCCGAGGGGGGTAGGGGCACCCAAGGGGCACATGCAGCAGCCTGTGATGATGACCAGGTGGTAAGCAAGGCCTTTGCCCCTCTGGCTGGATCTCAGGGGTCGTGGCTTTGATCTCCACTGGAAGAGGCGTGGACTGGGTGATGCCATGCTTCTTGGGCAGGCTGGGAACTGCCCCAGGGGTTCGTACTCCAAAGGTCCTTGGGGCTCCATTTTCCTTTTTTAAAATTTATTTTTAATTGGGGAGAAATTGCTTTACAATGTGTTGGTTCCCGCTGCGGGTGTGCGTGTTTGGTCATGTCTGACTCTTTGAGAGCCCACGGACACAGCCCACCAAGCTTCTCTGCCCATGGTATTTTCCAGGCAAGAATATTGGAGTTGGTGGTGATTTCCTTTTCCAGGGGATCTTCCTGATTCAGGGATCGAACCTGGGTCTCCTGCATTGCAAGCAGAGGATTCTTTACCATCTGAGCCACTAGAGAAGCCTGGTCTCCTCTGTACAATGATGCAAATCACCCATAATTATACACACATCACCTCCCTCCTGGGAGTTCCATCTTCTAGCTGGAGGGAGCACAGGCTCCCCTTGAGCAATGAATAGCTGTGCTTCTGCGGAAGACCCCACCCCATAGAGGTGGACTGTTCACTACAGAACAGGCCAGCGCTGCCCCTGTAGCCCCGAGGCAGAGGAGAGCAGACGGCTGGACCAGAGCCACTGTCAGCCCCCTAGACTCCCACTCTGAGTGGGTCTTGGCTCCTCTGAGGTGATCAGTTGAGCTCTGAGCAGGAAGCAGGGATCTGCATGAGTGACCCTGAATCACGGGAGCTGGCTCTGCCTCTGGATAGTAAGTGGGCTCTCCTGAAGCCCAACTTAGAGCCTCAGAGAGAAACAACCCCTCTGTGCATCCTCCTGGGATGCTCCTTGGCTTCTTCCTGGGCCCAGGGACACTCTCTCGTGTCTAGGGAGACGGGTTTCTTGTCCTCCCCAACCCCTGATCCGGACCACGTGTCTCAACTCAGCGCCACTTGCCAATGCTGCTCTCCGTCCTGCCCTGCTGCTGCCAGCCGCCCTGCACGGCCTCCATTCAACAAGGCAGCTGTGTTTGCACAGACAGGCCCAGACTGGGGAAGCGCCAGGCCCTCTGCAGAGGAGGCCGTCTCCCTTGCCTGTGTCACCGAGGCTACCGGTTCCCCACTCCGGACTTGCAGGCTCTGTTTCCTGTCACTCAGCACTTTGTGGCAGGTCCTGGCGAGGACAGATGCCAGGGCAGCCAACGGCAGGGCAGGGCACTTAGTCAGGGTAATCTTCCCACCACCTTCCTCCCCTCCTCTCTCTTCCAAAGCAGGGGGCTGGAGACCGGGGAGCGAGAGGGGTAAGAGGTAAGGGGCACAAATTCGGACAAGCTCGCCTGTCTGTGTTGCGCGTATCAGGGGATGGGCACGTAGATGGATGGACGGGCAGTGCCCGGCTGAGAGCCGGGCCGGGTGGCTCGGGTCCTGAGTCCGTCTCCCATTCCTCTGGTTTGGCGCCAAGGGCTTCTGCACCCGCCCCCTCCTGCTCCCCACCCCCGCCCGTGCAGTTCCCAGAGGCGGACGCGAGGTGGCGGTGTGAGGACAGGGAAGGGGAGAAGCCAGTACCGAGCCACGAGGAAGAGGACGCAGCTGACGGCCAGATAGGCCAGAAGCATGAAGAGCCAGACGCCCGGAGAAAATGGGTCCAGGAAGGAGAAATAGCCGGGTCTGCGTCCCTGGAAATGGAGACAGAAACGAGATTCATGTATGCATTCAGTCAGCACAGCCCTTGGGCAGGGGAGGGCAGAGGGGTTGGTGAGCTGGGAATGGCTCCAGACTGTACTGCCTTGGGTTATGGGTGATGGGTTTAAATGACACAGGGGCTGAAGGCGTAGAGAGGTCTGCTCTGAAAGCCATCTACACAGCCCTTATCTCAGCTGATGAAACTAAAGAATGGCCCAGGGCCTCATCACTTCCTAGGATGAAGGAGGCTCTGTGCTGGGCAACAGAACAGCTCTCAGTGACCCTTATATGTGTCCCCATGTCCTCCGGGGGGAGCGTAGGTGGGCTCTGAAGCACTTTTGAGCTGTTGATGTCTGAGGACATGTAGCCCCCTCTCTGCCACGCACGTCTTTCTTACGAGGATGCTAATTCGACAGGCATCCTTGGATTTTGGTTTGCAGGGTGATCTCCCATACAATGAGACCTTCTCATGTAAACCTCAAACCGGGTGCTGTGAAGCACCCAGATTCTTATTTTCATTGTATTAGGAAAGAAATCAAAGCCCTAGGGCATTCAAGAGATGTGTCCACGGCTCATCAGTGGAAGAACTGGGACTCAAATGCATGCTTGCTGACACAAAGCCCAGGATGCAGTGGAAAAACATGGCTGTCCCTAGGCCAGGCAGAGTCATGGGAGCCAAAGGATGGAGCCAGGAACCAGCCAGAAAGCTGGGGACCACACTCTGGCGGGGGGCATGTTCTGCAGGAAAGTGAGATGGAATGAGAAGGAAGGAATTTCAGAATCTGCTCCTGGTCTTTAGCAGTGTGGTCTCAGGCAAGTGCACACCCCTCTCCAGGCTCCGCTGGAGCTGATCTGGATCAAAGGTGAGACCCTGGTGACCTGCAGGGTTACCACTTGTTTGTTAACTTGTAGTGCTTACTCATTTTGATAAGCTGTCAACATTAAGTGACTAGGACGTTTCACAGAAAAATCCAGATTTCTGGCTTAAAAAATGGATGATCTGGCCACGTTGGGCCTAATTCTCAACCAGCTGGAGTTGAGTGGTGGCCGTTCACTCAAGACAGGATCCCTCTCTGCAGCTCCCACTGCTGCCCTGGTCTTGAACCAGGCTTGCTTCTTCCACTTACTATGAAACCACTGGAACAAATGTTCCCTAAAGACCATTTTAAATTGAAAATGATATGATTTTATGATTCCAGGAATCTAGGAGGTCCATGGATAGGGTAGAAAACCAGTATTAACCTTAGGGGTGCGAGGAACAGGTAAACTTTCAAGTTCAAGGACATATCAGTCATGGCACAACCTGCTGTCAATATCAAGATATGTCATTTTGCACTGGGGTTCCCAGAGACAACAAGGGGGGCTATCTATGCCAATACTGAGCTAATCTCAATCAGCTTTCTGGGCTTTTGTTATCCAAGGACATGAGATCCATCTAGACCGTGAGATCATGCTGAGAAACTGCAGGTAACAACAGCTGCTCCCAAGGCAGCATCTAAGGAGCAGGGGAGACAATGCTGCAAGGCCCCGTTGTATTTGCACAAACCCCAATTGTGGGTAATTTTCAACTGCTCTTCTGGTGAGTTCTCCATCCCTTCCCAGTGAGCCAATAGACAAATTCCCAAAGCACTTGGGAGTATAATTTTACTCTCCCACTGAGGACACAGTCCAGAGGGTACAGAGTGAGGAAGTCAAAGCTTACCCTCTGCTAGTGGGGCACTGGTTCCTGGATCTTGAAGTCCTTCATCAGTGTAACAGTGACCCCTGGGGTGGTCTGTCTGAAATTGGATTTCTCTCCCAATGTGGCTTAGACCAGGGAACTGCCTTCTGATACCAACTGCAATTTCTCTGCCTCATGTGTGTTCATGTTGAGCTGCAGAGAACACTCAGGTGACTGGGAAAATAAAACAGCTTGAGGGACAAAGCCCAGTGACCAGGGGAACAGGAGAGAAATAGGGAGAAGACCATTTGAGTATATATGGTCCTATCACTATGTAAATTGTCTAACAGGAAGAAGGACTCAAGACAGCAGAATTGGAGTCCTCCGTTAGTCATTACTGTGTCCATCACGGACTAACCATGCCTTCATCATCATCCTAAGAGCCAGTGCAGATGCAGGAAGATACAGACTGAGTCCAGAAGGGGATGAAGATGCTCATTATGTCTACATACTTGCTGCAGAAAATCACTAGCTTGGGCCATTCCTGGGGTCCTTCTATCCCCTGGAGCTTCTCTGGGCAAACGTACATGAATTCTACACCTGTCACTCATGACTACTTCACTCTGTGTCTCCCAACTAAGAGGTATCCAGGAGAAAAAAATTCTTTCATTGTTGCTCTCTGAATCTGAAACCCCATTAGATGCTCAATGTCAGAAATCTATACCTGATTATATCACAACAAATGAAATTGAGGAAAATGACAGCACTATTTAAAGCTGCCATATTTGGTTATGGGTGATAAGAAATGATGCACAGCCATGGGAAAAATTCCTGGAGACTTAAGTTATAAAACACAGAGCATCACACAAACAAGGATCAAGACATAAACAGAGCTCCCCTGGAAACATATCAGTCACGTTGGCAAGGCAACATCTGATTCCACGTGTGATTGACTGACGTCAACCAGAAGAGCAAGGAATGGGCAGTCATTTGATATGTGGGTCTGGGCTTGCACAAACTAGGCTTGGACTGAGCCCAAGCTGTTTTTATGATGCCAAAGAGAAGTATGTTACTTGCAAGGCTCTGAACGCCTCCCGTTTTTTTCTATGTGGATGCTTTCGATTGCTTCCTTCCCAACAGACATCTGAGTTACTAGTGCTGGGGGGTAGATCAGGTATCACATGCCACTGACATTTCTTCCTAATAACAGGTTTTCCTTAACTCAACGGATATATGGATATATGATGGTGATGCTTTTCTTCAGAAGAACTCAAAATGCTTCACTATGTTCTTTGGATTTCAGTACTCAGTACTCCATATTGACAGATGGAAGGAATGGGACCCAGGGAGGTTAAGTGCGGTGCTCACATCACTGGTGATGGTTTCAATTTCTCTGGTGCTCGTTTGTCAAGCTGTGCCATAGGGATACCGTGCTCTTCTTCTTTCAAACAGCAGCTGTACTGCATCTTCCTCTCTGTTTTATCTTTACAATTTGCTTCAATAAACTCCCTAATTAATCCCACGCCTTCTCCCCAATGCCAACAGAATCACAGCCTACTCGATCTCACCCCCTTAAAGTACTCTAAACATTATTTATTTATACCCATCATCATTTAAGACTCTTGAGAGTCACGTGGACAGCAAGGAGATCAACCCAGTCAATCCTAAAGGAAGTCAACCCTGAATATTCATTGGAAGGACTGATGCTGATGCGAAGAACTGACTCATTGGAAAAGACCCTGATGTTGGGAAAGATTGAAGGCAGGAGAACGGGGCAACAGAGGATGAGATGGTTGGATGGCATCACCAATTCAATGGACAGGAGTTTGAGCAAGCTCTGGGAGTTGGTGATGGACCAGGAAGCCTGGTTTGCTGCAGTCCATGGGGTAGAAAAGAATCGGACATGCCTGAGTGAGTGAACAACAACAAACCATCCTTTATGGGGACTCTGTTATTGATTTATACATGTCTCTGTTGACTACACTTTGGGCCTGTTCCTTCTGGTGAAGACAACCCACTTTGAAGGTAGATAATTGGTGATACAGAGTCTATGCCCCAAATGTCTAGGACAGGCCAAGTCCTGTAAATGGGGATGCAAATTAGATGGCACCAAAATGGGAACTGGTTCCTTGATTTTTGTACTGTGTTTCAGACTGACCACATCAGAGCCAGCATCATGGATGCTGTCGGATGGTGAGCGAGATGGGGCTGGTCACCAAATGACTACAATCCCTGAGTGGCGAGGCCCTTTGAATGTCAGCAGTAGAGCTGTTCACAGAGCTACAGAGTGGAACTAATCTCCTCTTGCCTGGTGAAAATTCCTCTTATCCTTAAAAAAATCCATAAACTCACTGACACTTCATTCCACATTTACTGGAAGGAATGACATTATAGTAAGAAAGTAATTGCGTGCCCAGAATCTGGAGCCAAATGCATAAGGACATCAGGGCCAGGTAGTGAAGGACAGGTAATGAATTAACACGCAGACTCTGGAGTCAGCCTGCCCAGGACTGAATCCTGGCTGTACCATATACAATAATGGGACCCTGGGCAAGTTACGTAAGCTCTCTAGATCTCCATGTCTTCTTCTGTAACATGGGGGTAATCATAAAACCTACCTCATGCATTGTTTTAACACATGGTAAGTGCTGTATAAGTGTTGGCTCCCCCTCTGTCTAATGGGCTTCCCTGGTGGCTCAGAGGTAAAGAATCCACCTGCCAATGCAGGAGATGCAGGGTCGATCCCTGCATGGGAAAGATCCCCTGGAGGAGGCCATGGCAACCCACTCCAGTACTCTAGACTGGGAAATCCCACGGACAGAGGAACCTGGCGGGCTACAGTCCACAGGGTCGCAAAGAATCGGACACGACTTTGCCACTGAACAACAACGGTCTAATGGTAGCCATGTGTGAGAGAGGTGGGGGAGGTGGTGTGTGACCAAAGAGAGAACTTCCTTTTACAGTCCTCCCTCATGGACAAGAAATCCAATTATCTGCCCCATAGTAGCACATGCTAAAGATGCTTGGAGGGAGAATTCCATCTTGCCACATTCCCTTTCTATAACTCCTAGAGTTTTTGTGGGTTATAATACATGAATGGTTTTAGAAAAGGCAGAGGAACCAGGGATCAAATTGCCAACATCTGCTGGATCATTGAAAAAGCAAGAGAGTTCCAGAAAAACATCTACTTCTGCTTTATTGACTATGCCAAAGCCTTTGACTGTGTGGATCACAATAAACTGTGGAAAATTCTGTAACAGATGGCCATACCAGACCACCTGACCTGCCTCCTGAGAAACCTGTATGCAGGTCAGGAAGCAACAGTTAGAACTG